CCCAGCCTCCAAAATCTGTTTTTAATATTATAAAATTTGGGTTATAAATTGGAAGGGGTAGTGTTATACTTAAATGGGCAATTCAGATGAATTTCTGTTTAGAAATGAATCACACAGGTATCTAAGTAACTTCTGAGATACTTTATTTATTTATTTTATCTATTACAGGTAGATTCTTCCTATTTTTAATTGTAGTCCTCTATATTTAAATCTAATAAGAAAAGAAAAATTTACTCACCAAACCAGTACAACAGTTAAAATGCAGGTTGTAAGTGTTACAACAATAAGGTTGTAAGTGTTATAACACTTAAAAAGTTAGCATTATTGTCAAAAAAGAAAAAGAGTAGGAACTTGAACTATTTTAGGTAAAAGGACCTAGCACTATACCTTTGCTCCAGGACTTTCAGTAAGTCTTATTATTTCATAAGAAGTCTTACATTTTGTGAACTATATGATTGTTATATTTAGAATTCCTTTTTGGTGTGATTCTGTTATTTTGAAACAAGCTTTATATTCTGAAAATGTACCTATTTTAATTGTACAGTTTGAATTTTGACAAATGTAATTTATACTCACCGAAGTTTCTTGTACCTCTTTGTAGTCAAAGCTCCCACCTCATTCTGGCCTGCTCTCTTTTGTCATAAAGTAGTTTTGTCCTTTTTATTAAAAATCCATTTTCTTGAGGTATAATTTACATACAATAAAGTACATGCTTTACCCTTTCATTGATAGTTTTTCTGGTACCAAAATGCTTATTCTACTTCATCACTAAGACATCACTTTGCATTGAGATGTGGAGTGGTATAAGTCTTGAAGAAGAGCTTGGATTTCATCTAGTCTTAAGTTGATATGTAATTTGTTAGTAAATTCAGAGTTAACATATTGTAGTACTTTTTATAGGTAGAATGTTTTATAAGCAAGCATTATTAAAATGTGACAGTTTTACTTCGGTGTCCAGTATATGTTGGAAATTTGAATTTTAAAAGGCTACTTATTTTCATATGGGTAAAATTCTAGTGTCTTTGCCAGATGTCCATTTCTTTTTCATGAGCTGTTTTGGTACTTTGGTTGTGAATTCCTCCTCCTCCTGTTCCTCCTCTTTCTATTTTCCTTTTTCTTCTTTACCAATTCTTTTTAACTTAGATTAGAAATGGAATAGAAGACGATGAAGATTTTTTTTGTTGTTGTTTGTTTTTTTGTTTTTTTTTTTTTTTTTTTGAGACAGAGTCTCACTGTGTT